TATCACTGTAAATGGTAAGGTTGTTTGCCACCCGCACCGTCACATACTTGTTCCGATAAAGAAAAGTGGCGGGGTTCCCAGAGATCTCCATCTTATGATCAGTGGGAGTTTTTTTAGTACGTACATCGGAAAAAAAAGTACGATGTTTTTTTCACCATGAGCTAGACTAACGGGTCGGTTAGCGGTCTGGCCAGATTGTGCCGTTCCAATGATCTAAAGCCCACGCCAATGACAATTCAGGCGCGGAATACTTATCGGACGCTAGCTCTCGAGCTCGTCTGATTCCCTGCGATCGCCGCCTCCGCTGCTGCACTCACTGCAGGCGCATGTGGGCTGCGTTAATTTTGGGAGCAAATCGTTTCAACGCTTCGGCAGCTCTCCCTGCTTATCTCCCCCCGTTGAAAATACCTCGTGAATCACGCGAACCTGCCAGGTTTCTTGCCCACCTTGGGATTAACTGCTCCAACAAATCCCTCCTCACTTTTAAGGCCTTCTTCTCTTTGCTCAGTTCCGAGTGACGCATTGTTGTTTTTTCTGCCTTTTCTGCCTTGGTTTTTGGCGCGTCCCCAACATGCAGTGACGGCAATCTTTAAACCCGCCCATTGTTGCTGAGACTTCAGGGGACGCCGATTTCCAAAATGCTTGCCTCCCTTTTGCGCCCCAAGAAAAAACGAGTCTATGCAGAGCGGTCGCCATTCTCATCGCCGTACACAACCCGCGATTCCCAATGGCCTTTTCTACAGGAAAATGCACCTCAACGAGGCCTTGAGCCAGGCTATGAAGAGATCAACGGATACAGCGGCACCCATGAGGGGCCTGGCGCAAGATCTGAAGATGATGCCGACGAAGAGGATGACGAACCCGTTGAGTCCACGCCTCTCCTTCCAATATTTTCGGCGTCGCATCTAGGTACAGATACTCGCCCTATCATTCAAATTCTCAATTATGTTCGCATGCTGACTTCTTAGACACTCTGCCGGTTTATGACATCACCCATGCAATCCGTCCTCTCATTGTTGCTCGATGCGAAACCACCCTGACCTGGGACCAATTGCGCTCGCCACAAATATCCCAATTCTTGGTCAAGCCTATTCAGCAGAAGATTCGAACGTTGCATTTCTCCCGGGCTACACTTTATGCGCTGATAACGAACTGTCTCCAGTTCTCGAAGGAGGTCCATTTGAATCCCGGCAACAGCGGCGTGAGCCAAACTAGGGCCATGGTGAGCGAGCTTCTCGCTATCAAGTTGCTGAGAGAATATTCGACACGGGAATTGATTGACGCGCTTTCCTATGAATTCTATCCTCTCAATGGTCAGACGCCAACGGCAACTGTAAGCTCCGATCGGGCACCTGGTTGGTATTCTACGCCAGGAAGCAAACGTCCTGCTATCGCTCGTGTTTCTTGTCTCGAAGTGGCCATCCGCGCTCAGGCGAAACGGTTCTTGTCGCATCCCCTGGTGGTACAACAACTCGAAGCGATATGGGCTGGCACGATTGTCTTCCATTCCGCATCTGATTACCTCCATCGCTCGCCCGCACAAGTCAGGAACAATGGGAGGCTGCAGTATGGTACCGCTCCTGATCCTTCTCCCCTTGGCACGTCGCATCGTCAGCCACAGCCCAACGTATCTGGACTTCGACGTTCGGTCACGATCTACAACCCACGCGATGCCTCCTTGTTCAAACTTTCACGATTACGTGTGCCTCGATACAGGCAGTTCCTGTCAACTTTGTCATTCGCGGTTCTGCTGGGATTGTTCCTGGCTGTGTTGAACCAACGTCGCCTCGAAATTACTCCACTGGAGGTTATCTTCTGGCTTTGGAGCGCTGGCTTCATGCTCGACGAGATTGTCGGGTTCAACGAGCAAGGTTTCAGCTTGTATCTCATGAGCTTTTGGAATCTTTTCGATCTCGGTATCCTGTTCCTCCTTTTCTGCTACTATTGCATGAGACTCTACGGTGTCATCCTCCCCTACACTCGCAATCATATTGTGGCAGACCAAGCGTATGACATCTTGGCTGCAAATGCAGTCCTTCTCTTCCCGCGACTTTTCTCGGTTCTTGACCACTATCGCTACTTTTCTCAGTTGCTTATCGCATTTAGAATAATGGCTTCTGACCTTATCGCGGTCTTCCTTTTGATTATTATTGCCTGCAGCGGGTTTTTCGTGGCATTCACACAGGCGTTTGGCAACAGCGATGACCATTCTCCTGGGGCTGTCGCGTATGCCTTGTTCCAAATGCTCATGGGATTTACTCCAACAGCATGGAGTCTTTGGGACGAATATAATATGCTGGGCAAACTCATTTTGACAGTGTTCCTGTTCATTTGTCACTTTGTCGTCGTCACCATCCTCATCACCGTTTTGACGAATTCCTTCATGAGTATTGTGCAGAATGCCAATCAGGAGCACCAGTTTCTCTTCGCCGTCAACACAATCTCTATGGTCAAATCGGACGCACTTTTCTCTTATGTCGCCCCGACCAATATTCTTGCTTGGCTGATCACCCCCCTTCGTTACTTTGTGCCATTCCGCGAATTCGTTCGGATTAACCGTACGATCATCAAGATTACTCACTTACCCATCCTATTTACGATCTGTTTCTACGAGAAAGCGATACTGAGTTCTCAGGTAATTGATTCAACCGACTTGATTGAATCGACATCTCGAGGTGATTCATCAGACCGCTTTCGAGCCCGGCGTCGATTTAGGGCTTTCAGCTCGCAAATTCGACCCTTCGTCCGAGAACCATCAGTTGCCACATACCAGAAAGACCGTGCTCTGGACGAGGTGTTTCGACGGCCATTCCGAGACGCAACAGCTAGACGTCCTGCCGCCGCCCTTGATCGCAGAGGAAGCCACAGCGTCGTCAACAAGTGGATGCAGACTATGGGATCGGGCTCTGTCAACCCCCCTGATGAGCAAGACTCAGAGGAGGTCGAGCGGCTCGAGAGATTTCCCCATGGTCGGACGGGCTTTCGCCGGACGTTTACCAGGAGCTTGCGCGACTTTACCGAAACGAATCACTCCGCTATATCCGACGCTGAACCTCCCCATGTAGCATCCTCACCTGCGACACCACGTAATGGGAGGACTTACTTTACTCCAATGCGAAGCAGACAGTTGTCGCGAGTTACGGGTATGGAAGGTGATGATGAACTCACAAGCGATGACAATGGCGGATGGGCTGGAGAACAGAGATCAGGTCCACTGGATTCCGAGGACGATACGCCCAAGACCACCAGACAAAGTCCGATTCATACGCCACCCAAGCACTTCAGCTCTCGGCCATCAACTGCCCGACTCAAATCTCGCAAGACCAGTCCCGCTCGGCGGATCAAGAACCACACGCGAAATTACTCGGGCGCCACTATGCTTTACAATCCGATACCTTCAGATAACGATCACGAAGCCGCCAAAGCTTCACCAAGCCCTGTCCGGCCAAGAGCGGAGACTCCTGATCCAGCAGGCGGGGCTGTCCTGTCTACCTCTGCAGATCAGTGGACGCTGAAAAGACATATTGCGCAGGGTAGCAGGCTTAGAAACGTGACCATGACTCGATCTGATCCGATGTCTGTTCCGGATGTGGGTGGTTTTTCGGTACCCGATTCACATTTCCAGCGGCGCCGTCAAGCGTCCATCCTTGATGGCTTAGGCTCAGACCTTGGGGACAACAAGGCGATAGCGAACGGTTTCCTAGGCGGTGTTCCTTCAAGCCTCACTACACAAATAGCCTACGCGACAGGTAATATTCGACGTCCCGACAGCCCAAGTAGTCAGGATATGCTCAGCAAGCTTGTACTGGCACGGATGAATAATATCGAAGAAGGCTTCCGTGAGGTGATCAAGGAAGTGAAAGACCTCCGACGTGGAGGGACTAGCCGGAGCGAAAGCCGGGTTGATGAACAACGAGGCGTCCTGCGTGAGAAGAAAAAGCGTCGCCCAGATAAGAAGGAGCCAAAGAAGGATCTCCAAGGATCTCGGAAGAGCAAGACGAGCAGCGAAGGGCAGTGGTCGGACGAGCTGGCATTCGAGAAACGCAGAGATGAAGGCAGTGGGGATGAAAAACTTTAAGTTTGGTGCAGCTGTTTGAGCGTTCAAAGCTCTCAAATTACGATCTTCCTGTATCTGATTGAATTTACATGTACAATATTTTTGGGCTGGCTGTCTCACGACTTTCAATGATTCACGAAATATGAGCATCTGATACCCTTCCGCTACCTTTTGGTGTCACGGGCATGTCTTTCCTTTCGTTGTCACATACATGTGTTATCAGTGGTGGGAATGTGACCTGGATCACACATTCTGTTACTAATTCAGAAAAATGAAGCGTCCCTAGAACCACGCCGGAATGGTCGTTTAATAACTTAGTAGTATGTGTATTTGTGCAGACTGTACACCTTATCATGGCTCTTCTGTGCCTCTGCTCCGCTGAACTATTCCGAATCACATTCTAATATTCATCTTTATTATTGTATACAAATAATACCCATGCTTAATGGTTATCATCGGCATTGAGGAAGCCGGGCTTGGAAATATGCAAGGGTCTTCCCGGTTTGCTGTCACTTCTGTCAGTGAATACCGAGTGACTGCAACGTGAATCTCCGCCACAGTCAGTGGAAGTTCACGAATACGCGAAATTATCGTTCTGTTTTCCCTCGCCACACTTTCTCGCGTTCTTCTCACCCCTTCTTCATCTTTCGGGGACAACTCTGACGCACAGAAACTGGTTTCGGTGCTACTTCCAGGCAGCGGCGAAACGGTAAGGCTGACTGAGGCTGTGAGAGCTCGTGTCATACTAGTGATCAAGAGTACCCACGTCACTACCTCATTTGCAGAAAGGCGAACTCGGTGTCCTTTTAAAAGACGTTCTTCCGTTTTACCATTACCCTTCTCTGTCCTATTGCCCGTCTTCATCAGAAGGTGTGTGATCTCAACGAGTTAAAGTGTGAAATGGGTAGTACTGAAACTACTCTAGATTCAGACCGAACACGAGATGGCATATTACCAGGAACAGGAAACTGATGAAGACACGAGTTACGCCTTGAACATCGAGGATGATGAGAACATCTCCAAGCTTGATGTTCTCCGGTTTGAAGGTGCCGATACAATCGTCTTCATAGACCCTCCATCATACGTGCCAAACAGGTCATTGCAGCCACAGTCTGAAGCGTCCATTCCCCATTATGTTCACAGCCACACCCTCTTGGACACAAAGTCACCCTATTTTACGAAACTTTTTGATCCGAGAAGACAAGCTCGCATGATCAAGCGTTCTGAATTTCTGGGAAATCTACCAGATGGCATTAAATACGTTATTAACCTCACTCCCCCCTCAACGGACGACGAGGCAGTGGCGTTCACCACTGAACTATCTTGTCCACTAGGTATACGGACTTGGACCCGTGAATTAAGCCGTTTGGATTTACCTGTGGACTGTGTTGGCGGCGAAGACGAAGGAATCGAAACTGAGGGTGGTAGTAACAAATCGGCTTTTCCCTCTGAGTATTCGGATTCTCGTCACCGCACAGGTATCGTACATATCCTGCAAGCTCTAGGAGGTGTTAACCCGTGTCTTGATACGCCTTGCAAGCTTTGGACATTCTTTGCACTGGCCAAGGTGTTTGGTATTGCTACCATAGGGCACATCAAAATCCATATTTTGACCTGGCTGTATGACGGTACAAATGCCTGCTTTATCGAACTTCATCCGGAAATTACCTATCGAATTTCCCGCGGAATTGAATGCGACTATCTTTGCCAGGATTCCTTCACTGTCCTGGTTGGAGAAGAAGCTTTGTTACGTCTGGCCAATGCGGGCAAACCTCCCAGACTCCAATGGCCAGAGGTGACGTTCCACGGCCGACAACGCGAACCTTTGGATGATGAAGATCGCCAACGGATCGAGTATGCGAGCCAGAGCCTTGTGGACCGTATCCTCGAAGAATTTATACAATTGACGGGCTCACGAATGGACTGGCTCTTGCAGCTGCCGTCCACAATGATGATCTCTAACCACATCGATGACTGTGTTGAACATTGTTCATTGGCATCAGATTTACTATCCTCGCTCAAACTATATGTGCGGGGCCACATCGTGGCCAATATGACCAGATCCGTTGACACTTGGTCCTCGAGAATAAACCATTACATTGATCCCTGCAACTACCCAGCGCATGAACACACCGATGCTTACGATAACATGCGTTATGTAGAACGCATCATCAGCAAGACGTTCTGGAGAACGGTCAGGGGTGAGGGGTATAGCGACTGTCTCCGAAAGCCCGATGAAAATTTCCGAGATATGACAATCGCCGACTTGGGCGGACATCTCCACCTTTTCCAGACTGAAAATGAGGCAAAACTCTCATATGTTTCCTTGGAAGACATTCTGCTGGCAGTCAACCAGTTCAATAACCACGTTGACTTTGATAGCCCAAAGTTTGTCCAGCATGCGTACGGTGGTGACATATACATACAGAAAGAAGGTGGGATTCTTCCAGATCTAGATTCTGACATTGAGACCGATGAGACACCCGAAGAAACTGCTACCGAAAGCTCCATGGCATCCGTCTTCGATCCAATCGTCTTCCTCCAGCAGGTGCGCACACGTTTGGGCGATCTCACCGAGCGCATGGCAAAGGGTTGCAGACAAGGAGCGCACTTCAAACTCACCGACACCATCACCTGTCTTACCAGCAACGAGTTTAGATACCTTCCGCTGTGGGCGGGTGGTGATGATGATGGATCTGGCGGCGTTTTTACAGATCAAGGCATACCTAATCTCGAGACGGGCGGATTCTCCATGCCAGGACCTGCAATCCACACAGGAAGTACTGCCCCCTCGACCATTTCCTACTGCAATATCGCCCCAAGCGAGGGTCAAAGTACGGTCCAGCGTGCGTCCCACATGGCCACGGGAAGCCAGTGGGCGGACGTCGTCAGCTTAAACTCCTCAGAGGGGCACGCCGTGGAAGACGAAAGCCATGGACCAACCCCGGATGAGAAGCCCAAAGACACAGAGGAGTCTTTCATAGACATTGACACATCAGCGGACGACCTCGAGGACTACTTCGATACTGATAGCGAGGACGGTGACACGGTGATTGTGGGCACACCGAGTCAGAGTGAGCCGATTGAGGAGGCTTCGGAGATGCTGGAGGACATGTCTCTCGGGGTGGAAGCTGACTCGAAGTGATTCGTTAATATGGATGGAATTTGACTTGTACGTGTATTTAGCGCCTAAATACATACAAATAGTAAAGTACCAATCAATGAAGGAGTGGTTCTGATTCGACATCCACAGTAGTACAAGTATCTATCACGTGACAGAATCCGGGGAGTTAACCGTCTGGGCGGCGACGTCACGGAGCGGTGATCTTATCGCCAAATAATCCCTCGCATTAATCCCTCCTCCACAGTCCAAGGCAGGGGCCCGGACTCGCCCAGATCGACCTTACGCTTTTCTCCATCTTGTATAGCAACACGAGTACATAATCGCGACATCTAACCACCATGGCCGCCTCCTCATCGAAGCCATCGAGCTTCCTGCTCTAGTACGTTTTACCCAACCAGCAGCTGAACAGCAACACACCGCGACATCTACTTCACTCCCCAACCTACACTCTCAATAGTATCATCCCAAACTAACCACTCACCCAAATACACAGCTCCTGCATCGCCCACCGCACAACCATCCTCGCCGAACACTCCTCCCCCGGCACATCCTCGAGCGCCGCCTCGTCCCTCGCCTCCATCATCCTCCCCAAGATCAGCCACGACCAACCACAAAAGCTCACCTACACCCACGAGCGTCTCTTCGTGCACTACATCGCCGACTCACCCACAACACCCAGCACCCCCGATGACCCCCGCCAGGGCGAACCCAACTCCTACGCGCCCCTCAGCTACATCGTCGTTGCAACCGCCGAACAAGGCCGCCGCATTCCCTTCGCCTTCCTCCTCGAAATCAAGCGCAAGTTCCTCACCACTTACTCGCCCTCTAGCACGGACTTTTCTGCTCTCCCGGCTTACGGCTGCGCCGCGTTCAACAATGAGCTCCGCTCGCTGCTGCAGACGTACAATACGGCCCCGCCGGCGGATTCGCTGGCTTCGGCAAAACGGGAGATCGATAGCGTGAGGAACATCATGACGGAGAACATTGAACGGGTGTTGGAAAGGGGAGAACGGATTGATTTGTTGGTGGATAAGACGGATCGGTTGGGTGGAAGTGCGCATGATTTCCGCATTAGGAGTCGTGGGTTGAGGAGACGGATGTGGTGGAAGAATGTTAAGTTGATGGTTTTGTTGGCTGTTGTGGTCGTGTTCTTGGTGTGGTTGTTTGTGGGGATGGGGTGTGGATTGCCTGCTTGGGGGAGGTGTGTTGGGCATAGTCAGTAAGTAGGTAGTTGGTGAGGATGTGATGGTGTATCTTATTTGTCTTCTTCGTGGTGATTATGAGGTGGAGGAACGGTTTACGACTGTCTGGTTTTCGGCCAATTGAGCGGGACATATGACTTTCTTTCTTTTTGTCTGCTTGTTTGTATGATATGACGACTGCGGCTGGTATTCACATTCTTAGGTATTTATTTTTACTTCTGGGGTTGTATCCCAATAACGTCTAGCGTGTGGTTCGTTAGAGAAGTGGTATGAATGTTGATGCACATGAGTATCTGTAGGCTTAACAAGACTTCTTACTATCTGGAGACAGCTTAGAGACTGGTATACACGCTCAAGGAAATTACACGACGCCAGAGTAGACAAGTCTAAACGTCAACAATTACTAGTAGTAGCTACTCAACTGGCACACCCAAGTCCTCAACATCACTGCCGCAAAGCCATCCACTTGGCGACTTACATTTGTCCGATGTTTAAGCTCACAACAGTACCAGACAAAAAGACAGGCTACAGAACACCTCAACCACTCAACAATAGACAAATCTCAATCAAAGATCATTATTTTCAATCAATCATATATAATAAAAACTATATATCTACAACAGCATGTATCTCACTCTCAAACCCGCAGCGTCCTTGCGATATGCTCAGTGCGGGTCTGCAAGCGAGGCAGAACGCGATCTAGACTTTTGTCTAGATGTAAATGCATTTCTGCAATTCCTTCTGCGCCAGCCGTATACCTCTTCAACCATGGTAGTGGATTGATGAGGAGATAATCTGGCGCGTTGATGAGCTATTAACTAGGTTGGTTGGGAGTCGTTCAAGATCTCGCTGTAGGGTGTTCAAAGCTCATTATATGAGTAGCCAATGCTGTCCTCTTTGCAACGAAACATGAATTGCGAGGGTGAAGCATTGGCGGTGCTCATGATTCCTGACTCAGCATTGCGAAGAACACAGAGATGACTGTGTCGGCGATCAACTCAGACGACTGCGTCTGTTGGTTGTTGTACGAAGAGCATTTTGTCTGACTTACTGCAGGAGAGGTTGGAAGTTGCAGTATAAATAGTCGAGCTTGAAAAGTGTGCGTCACGTGATGCTCCGCTTAACGCCGATAATGCTTCCGATTGGTCAGTGGGAGACAGCTCCTGTCGCGACTCACCGCCCGCGCGAGGCGGTGGGGAATTTACATCGTCGAGCCTCTTTCATGCGCGCCGCTAATCCCTCTTCCGATGCGGTCGCGTCACGCCGACCATTTGGCTTGATTTCTCTGTGAGGCTATATGCTGGTTATTGCGGTCACACTGAGACCAGCTCGGGATACATCTTCTGGAACAGTTTTACATCTTTCTTGTTCTGTACGTCGAAAATGATGCTGACAGCGAAGAATTGGCACCATACTTGATATCCATCTGCCTCACCAGCTGCGCAAGATGTCAAGCGAAGACTTGCAGTGGCTGGAAAGTTACCTGCGCCATGGATACGACCCAGAAGCCCAAGGCGTCGATGATCATGCGGCATTCTATCAGTCGAATCCCTACTTTGCTGTGCCCCCGTCCTCGTCTTACACAGCTGCCCAGCATGGCTCTGCCGGTACTCATGGATATCAGTATTCAAACGAGAGGGACGTGAGGCCTCCTCCATTCCCAGAAAACCAACATCACCCTCCCAATCCTCGGTCTCACCAAACGCAATATACCCAAGCTTCCACTGTGGCACCACCCCCAGGCTCGCATACTGAAAGCTCGTCCCGTTTCGCTGCTCCTTTTGGTCCGAAGTCGCTGCCCTCCAAATCACCCAGGCCCCCTCCTTCACAGGAATATAAACGTGCGCATCAGTTGCCGAAGCCAGTGCAGACACACAGGACTGGCCCTCCAGCAGGGTACAAGCCGCCCTCTCCTCGAATGTCCCAACCGGCGCCTCAGTCCAATCCAGCGCCCCCTCCAGGGTACCAGCCGGCTTCATATCCAGCGCCACATTCAGTCCCGCAAGCACCGTCTAGACCGACCCCACCTCAGATGTCAGGCTCTGTACCCTCGAGTCTACCCCCTGCCCAGTCGACTAGTACGGTATCTACAAGCCAGCCTCAAGTCCAGCCCTCGAATGCTATCATTTCGCCCTTGCTACTGCAGATGTCGAATACGGCCCCACCACTACTGCCACCTACACCGGCGCAAGCTCCCAATACACGTCCTTCACCCATGCCACCGACGCAATTCACTGCACATCCTTCCTATTCACCTATGACAGCACCTCAAACGAGTTCGCACGCCACTCCAACGACCCCAGCTCAGACATCCCACTCGGCTCCTCCAGTGACCGTCCCGACTTCCCAGCCGTCGACTTCAGCGCCTCCGCCTAATCCACCTGCGCAGATGACGAATACAACCTCGCAAGCTACAATGCAGCAAACAAATACTGGTGGAAATGGTAGTGAGCCTGGTCATGGTGCAAAGCGACGTCGGATAGCGCCCCCGTCCACCTCTAAACGATCATCTGGGCGACCTTCATTGCCCAGCTACGCAACAGCGCCTGCTGAAGATCGTCCGGCTGGAGGGCTTTCTATCTACAATTATTCACCACAAACAGGAGGCACCGGCTCCCCTGCACCCAAAAACCATTTGAAATCGCGTGCCGACATTGTTAAGCCACTACGTGAGGAGGATGCCGTCGATAAGGTGATCTATGACCCGAAGACGATCGCCAGAGATGTTCTCATTGCAGCCGGCCGCCACCCAACAGAGGAGACACTGAACCATCACCTTCTTCGTTTGCGCGATGTTTTCGTTCATGTGGACACTTCATCTGACCTGTCGACCTTTCGCTGGGATCTAGTCGACGCGCTGGAACCACGTGACCCAGAACCGCCAAAGTCGCAGCCGCGGCCGCGGCCGCGTCCCGCGCCTTCACTGCCTGTCCCTCCGAGCACCACCAACACCACTCTTCCCCCTCCACCACAAGCGCAGCAACCGCCACCTCTTCCCCAGTCACAGCCGGCACGACAATATCCGTCTTCGCAGCCCCTGCAGGGTCAGCCGGTGTTGGGTCAGCACCTTGGTCTTTTCAAGGCTGCCCCTCAGCCACAGAACGGTCCATCTGCCTCGGCAGCGCCCCCGCTACCACAAACGCGGCCGCAACCACCGTCGACCCCTCAGCCCCCATCACAATCAAGTATACCTACCACAACGACGCGAGTGACACCGATGACGGGCAAAAGAAGACCGGGTCGGCCCCCGGGCAGCACGAACAAGGCGCGGCAGCAGCCCCAGCAGCCTCAGCAGCCTCCCATGTCGTCGGCAGTTCCGTACCCGGTATTTGCATGTAATTGGACGAACTGCCAGGCGCAGATGCACAATCTGGATGGACTGAAGAAACATGTCTTCAAGGTGCACGTGTCTCAGACGCTCAATTGCGCATGGAAGGGGTGCACGTTCCCAGACGCTCTGCCTGCCGCAGTTTTGTTCAAACATGTGAAGAAGGAGCATCTGGAACCGATCGCATGGAAGCTCGGGGATGGGCCCACGGTGCCTGTAACTGGTGAGAAAGCATCTGCTGGATGATAACATTCTTTCAGCTTGCGACTAGTTTGATTGTTCGGAGCAGTGATTGATTTTTAACTTTGACTTGTGCGATGTAGTGGGAAACGATACTAGCGGCAGTCCTGGGCCCTTGGGAATTCCAGACACCGCACAGCCCAACAGTGAAGACTCACTTATAATCCCTGCCAGCGGCAGTTCCATCCGTGCCTTTAACCGAGTGCATGGAAATAATACTCAACAGGAGAGGTCCCGGGAGATCCTCAAGGCAGTCCAGCGACTGAAAGAGCACATTGGAGTCGGACTGGACCCGGGCGGATGTGAGCTCGCGACCCCGGCGCGGAATGAGCGATTGGACAATGACGAAGATGTCTACGAGGTGGTGCCAGCGACTTAAAAGAGAACCGCAATTTGTGATACCCTCACTTTTTAATTTGTTGTAGTTTCATCGGTTTCGCATTACATGGCATGGCATTTGACAGCGGGATTCAGCGAGTGTTTTTGAGCCACGGTGTTGTTGTTCGCTTTCAGCATGCAGATATTCCCGAGATGTTACACCCTTGTAAACCATAGCAACATCAACCATGTACCATATAGATAATGAACTCAAACCCGATCAACTGAAAAGAAGATTGAAAAAAGGGTAGTTATATTGACGACGACCACCGGGGTATCTATTCATCGCCACTTTTCTGTTCTGTTCCACCACACTTTCACCATCATCCATTTTCCCCCTTCCTTGTCTATCTGTCTGTCTCCTTTGCGCACACGCCCAGGAACAATAGACCATACATTGCAGTAGTTTGTATCGCAAAGTCGGAAACCAAACCGCATTCCAAGGCCAAACCCATCAATCGATCAATCAATCAATCAATCAATCAACCGACAATTATAATAGCGACACTGCCCCTGCAATTCCAATTCCAAGTCCAAACCGAATCAAATCAAATTAAATCAAATTCACGCAGTAGTAGTAGTCGAACCAGCCGACGACGACGCGCCTGTAGATTGTTGCTTGCTGTTGCTGTTGTTGTTTTTGACGTCGACATCCTCATCATCTTCTTTCTGATTGACCTCGAGGAAGTGGTAAAGAACGATCATCATCATGGCGCAGGAGCCGAGGAAGACGGCCAGACGGTGGAGTTCGTCGTCGGTGATCATTGTGGAGGGTAGGTAGTAGGTATTAGGTAGTTGTTGTTGTTTAGCGCTTCAGGGAGGAATTGGGCTGGTTGATTTGTGACGGAGAGGTAAGTAATTGGACAAAGTAAGGTACTTTTGTTTGTTTTTCTTTGTTGAGTAGTGAAAAGAGAGAGGAAGGGGGAGTGAGTGAGTAAGTGAGTGTTGTTGGTGCGATGACGGAAGGGTGTGTGATTGCGCGGAAGCCACGTTGATAGTTAGACTACTACTTAGTACGTAGTAGTCGGAGATGGAGAACGGAGCTGAGGGAATAGAGAAAACCCGATTGGGGATGGGGGTGTCGGTCGGTCGAACCATAGAAGAGTGGTCTATGGTTGATGGGATTTTCTTACGGAGAAAGCTTACCTGGTTTGAGGGAAAGTGTAAACAAGATTTTTGTAAAGGAGGGGGAAGGAAGAACAGGAAAGGAGAATTGGTTGTTGCTTGCTTGTTAACGTACTTAATTAGATAGATAGATGAGATAGTTGGTATCTACGTACTTACTTGGTATCCCGTTGGTATAGATGCAGTACTTGATAGTTACGTGCGTAAAGTTACCGGCTCAGTCAGCATCATCACTTCTCCATCATTCATCCATTCCATCCATCCACTACCAACTCCAACTCTCTCTACTCTCTATCTATTCTGAACTATCGATCAACTAACTAACTCTGCCACCCAACTTCTCAAGACGGACGATTCCAAATCTTTCTCATCCTCTTCCCTTACCCACCCCCTTGACAACTGTTCGAGTCTTTTTTCTTTCCTTTGTTGCAGCAATCTCTCTGTGTCACATCCGATCGCTGCAGCTCCACCCTCACCGGCCATTCCCAATCGTGAAGCGTGAATGGGTGAGATGCTGGGCGCTCTGCGGCTGTCGGTGGAGACTCGAGCTAAAGAAACGTCTGGCTGGTCTGATCGATCATCCTTCGGCCTGTCAAAAAGGCAAGACTAGGATAATAATTAATAAAGAAAAGGGAAGAAAAAGTGGTATGTTTCTCTCTTTTTGGCCTTCTACACCTTCTACTGCACTGGTCGTCCTGCATGATTCGTGTCGCCGTTGCGTCTAGTGCTAGTTAACTAGTTAATTCAATATCCCCCCCTTCCTGCCAGTCATCGTCCTAGAATCAATCCATTCGGCCTTCTCCGATTGTATCCATCGTCTTTCTTTCCATCCCTGGTTCTTTTTTTTTTGCAAAATTTATCTCCTTCTCCTTCCTGCTCCTCCTCCCCCCCCACTTCAACTTCCCGCCCGCTTTTTTCTTGTGCTTCCATAAAACCTTCCTTTCCGCCGTCACCCCCGCTTGTACCGAACTTCCGCTTGCCGTCTTTCTTTTCTCCTTCTCCTGCTGGGTTTCAACTTGTCTCTGGTCACTCTGAACCCCGCCGGATTCTCCTTTTTCTCTTTTTCCTCTTCTTCTCTGCATGGTGCTGGAATTGCGCAAATGAGACCACCAGCTTATTAATTCTCAGTAACCATTCAGTGATTGTTCCCGCCTTCAACATGGATCAAGGTCTCCAACAAAACCCGTTTATCTCCGTCAAGGACTCCGGTTCTGCCAAAAACTCGGGCCCGTCGCTGCTTGCCTGTCTGCTGTGTCGACACAAGCACCTAAAATGTGATGGAAAGACTCCTGTCTGCGGTCGCTGTTCCGCCACAGGCTCTGAATGTCAATACACCCCGTCGCGTCGCGGGTACAAGGGCCCCTCGAAGAAGCGTCGAGCCAATCCATCCTCCCCCGATCAACTCCCCGCCGACATGTCGACCTCCTTCGAGCCCCAATACTTCAACGTGCCGTCCGACTGGACTCTGTCGAGTAACATGCCCATGTCGTATGCGGTGGCAGCCGCCACCACCCCCGTGCCGACTTCCTTGCCCTCCTCGTCCTTACCCTCCGGCAGTCCCGCTCTGACAGATAACTCTGGCTCCTCGCACTCGCAGACGGTCGGCGTCACCAATAGCCCCATGACTCCAGACTCGATCTCTACCATTGCAGGCGATGGCTATCTTATCGACATCTTCTACACCTATTTCCATCCTTCCCACCCGGTCTTGCCGCCCCACCGTGTCCTTTACCGCAACCACGTGCCTGCGTTCCTGGAGCATGTCATCAAATTCATTGGGACCCACTTCACTCCGGCCGCCAACAGTGAGACCTACCGGCCGACGGTCATGTCGTCCGTGATGGACCAGGAAGGGTCCATTGAGAAATTGCAGGCCCTGGTGCTCCTCGCCATTGTCTTGCATTCCCGCAATGAGCGGCAGAAGGCGGGCGAGTGCGTGACGACAGCTGTCAATCTGGCCTTCGAGTTGGGATTGAACAAAAGAGACGCTGCACCGCAGCTCAGCTATGGCGACCCGGTGCGGGAAGAGAGCTTGAGGCGCACCTGGTGGGAGCTCTTCATCATTGAAGGCATGCTCACTGCACTAGGTGTTCAGCCAGCTTTCCGGTGCAATTCTGGGCCGCTCGAGGTACCATTGCCCTGTGAAGAGCGTATCTACCAAGATGCCCTCCCACCTCCGCCTGCACCCACTATTGCGCAATTCGACGAGCGTGTTTTTGCAGATGAGGAGCGAGACTTCTCTTCCTTCACTTACCGAATCGAGGCCGTTCGCATCCTGGGACGCGTAGTGGCCATCCAAGACATGATTGAGGGCCAGCAGGACCATGTCGAGGCCATTGACGCACGGATTACCAGTTTCTTCCACCACCTGCCCGAGAACAAGGCCGAACTGCTGCGCTCGGACGGGTCCGTCGACGAGATGATGTTCCAAGCGACAATGATCGTCAACGGCTCTGCGATTTACCTCCATTTCCCGCGATCTGATCTGCTGTCTTCCCCCGCGGTGGCAGCGGAGGTTATTTGCGGCCATCACGGGCCGCTGAGCATTCCCGCCTTCTCGCATCATGCGCATGCCATGAAGGCGGTCAAGGCAGCCAGCGAGATCTCCTCGCTGGCGTCTATTCGCATGCCAGTTGTGAAGCACACGCCTTTCTTCATTTGTGCGCTGGTTCTCAGCTCCATGGTGCAGTTGGCCGCGTGCTCTGTCAAGGCCGGGCAGATGCCCGACCCCAGCCGTGATCGGCTGACGCTTACCATTGGCGTTTTCAAGACTCTGGGACGGACCTGGGCGATTTCGCAAACGATTATGCATCAGATCAAGGCGGTCGCCCGTGATGTGATGGACCTTGGTCTTCGGCCTACCATGCCTGAAATTGATCTGACCACGGTCCTCGACAACAGTCGGTTTTGGATACCCGACCTCCTTCCAATGGCCAGGTAAAGAGGCGGGGCTCTATACTATATGCACATGAATTTTCGGGTTGCTGATTGATCGACCCTTGCACAAGCCCCTTCTACTTTCCTGTCGATATTTACCTACCATGGCAATGATACCCCTCCCCGACTGATAATGATTGCTTGTCCAAAAAGAAGACACTGAGATGATGCCAACGAGTTGATTTCATTGATCCGCTGGGGATCCCATGCGCTTAGGGGGGTTATTATTTATTTATCTATCTTTTCTTTTGATATGTTTGGAAATAAAAATAAGCTATATCCTGCTGATCTACCAGCTATACTGTTTTGGTATTCCTTGAAATGATTTAACGAAAGAACTACTTCGGCTGGTAGCAGCTATTCACATCAGCTTTATTTGCGAATTTTGTACTATGATCAGAGTGATACATATTCAATAGCGCTATGTTTTGAGGTAGGTAGGAATCAATAGTGGTGAACTTCTCGCATATTGCCATTGATAAGATTGGTCATAATATGATGATGGTATCGGTTTTAGTGGGAACAAAATTGCAGTGTCTGAAACTCAAAATGCTCACAGACCTCTCGATATATACTACTAGTATCTCATCCAGTCGGACACGTGCCATGCTTCATTTCCTTTCTTCAATATATTATTCCCTACCACTACTTATAAGTACTTAGTAGTACTGCTAGTGATACCCTACTCACTTCCTGATTATACTAATAATTACGAGAAGACGGAATTACACAAGTGGTATCCTGGATTGTGTATACTTGATAGATAATAGATGAAGAAGTTCAATTCTCCTTCGTAAGTCAGGGAATGTATGTAGTATCATTGAAAGATAATAATATCTACCAAGACACACACACATGCAAGAGAACACCAGAAAACATAATATCCAACGCCGCGCTAGTAACATTGAACTAATTCGTCACACTAATGAAGTTCAGTACATTCATATTTGTATCATGACCGGGAAAAAATGAAATTGGTGGTGCTGGTCTATAAGGGCATACATAGTTGGCATGGGAGCGGCAAAAATATATCGATAAAGATACATATCACAAAATAACACAATGTGGTATCATGCAATGATGGAGTTGCAGATAAGGACAACATCTTGGGGGAAAAAAAAATTGATATTTGATATCATGCTTGCTTATTTCTTCTTGTTGTTATTGTTCTTCCTCTTTCAGGACATGATTCTGATTCTTAGTTGGAGACTTTTCTTCTTCTTCTAACTATCCCCTGACGAGGTCGGGCGGCCTCGCGTAAATTCCTGCATCTCGCGGAGAGCTTCCGCGCGACGGGCGACCACGTCTTCGCGCCGGACGACGTTCCGAAGGGCTTCGCTGGCTTGAATGAGGCCGTCGATGCTGATGGCGTGGTTGGTCATTTGGTGGTTGATGTAGGTGTAGAGTTCGGCTGGGGTGGAGCAGGTGGTGAGGAGTTGTTGCTCGTTGAGTTTGAGGAGGGCGAGAGCTACTTGGAATAGAAAGGTGCTGCCGCCTCCGTTGCCGCTGGCGCTGGGGTCTGAGTCGGTGGGGTCGGTCGTGGAAGTGGAAGAAGGGGCATTGGCTGTGCCGGTGGCGGGAGGGTTGTTGACGGCGCTGGTTACATTCAGACAGAGGACTACGTCCCAGACGCGGTAGAGGGCTTCGGCTGAGAGGCAGTCGGTGAAGACGGAGAGGAACCATTGGAATGTTAGTGCCTCGAGTTCGACGCCCAGACTCTCGAGGTGGGCGGATAGCTTGGGCAGGATTTCGGAGATGTACTGGCGCAGTACTACTTGGTCGGCCCGGGAGGCGAGCAAGCCATGGTCGTAGTAGTGTTCGGGAAGGATCACCTCGATCATGGAGGTGAGGAGCCAGAAGGCGTCTTCAGCGGTGGGAGTGATAAGCAGGAGAGATGCGGCGATGAGGTTCATCCCCTGGCAGTAGCCGACCTCCGGGTTGCGACGAGAGTAGGCCAGGAGCACCTCCTTGAGCTTGGTAACGCCTGGTCCTCGGCGGAAGAATACATTGTCGGTCAGAGTCCGGTTAATGTCCATGTCAATCTGGGCGACGACCGATGAGTCGGGTTCCGAGCCACCTGTGCCCTTTACTAGGTCATCGTAGTAACCAGGCACCCGCATTGAAGAGGCGCCACTGCATTCGGACCAGACCTTTGCCCGCAGGGCAACTGGGATTCCTCCCAACACGAGGACCCGGAACTCGCGCCATTTGGCACGGCCGACTTTGCCCTTGTTACCTAGGCCAGAAATACCCACCACTTCGCCATCGGCCAGCGATGCCTCGGGCATATCGACAGACTGCAGTGCCCGGTCGGAGGTGGCGGCGGCTGCTGCGGCAGCTTCGCCGTCTTTTCTGCGCTCTGCACGCACTTTGCGCAGGAACTCGTTCCACCGCACGGTCCGGTCACGTTGTAGGGAATCATGTAGTTCCGTCAACTGCTCGAGCAGCAATTTAACCGGTTCATTCTCGCCTGCAGCCAGACTTAATGTGGCTGGCTCGTCGGAGGAAACCCCAGCGAACTCTGGACGATCTGCGACTACTGTGGACGTAGATGCCGATGGTTGAGCGTTCGGATTGACGGAGACTGCGCCACGTTTGTCGACAGCAACAGCAGAATTGCGAGGTGAGCCGTCGCCTGCTGTGGTGAGGGACACGATAGGACCTGCTGAGGGTGTATGTGATAGCAACTCTGTCGGTCCTGTGGGTACCCTCAGGTAATCTTGCCATCTCCGAAGTGCGACTGTACCGGCTTCCGAGGTCTCGGGAGACGCAGACACAGGCGAAGACTGAGGTTCTGGCATTGGCTGCAGTTGCTTTAAGGAGTCGGATGCATCATCACCATCGGAAGCGTCGCTCCGTAAGCTACTGAGAGTCTCTGCAATGCTGAGCCGGTTGCTGCCTCCAGCATTCTTGAACGCGTTCGCCTCCCTTTGTCTTTTCTTTCGACGCTGGTCGTAGATAAATCCAAAACGGTCAGTCAGCAACTCACCCGGTTGATAGTTGTTGTACATGTTTGAAAGAGTAGGAGGTCTTGATTCCAGAGGAAGGATGGCATCCATCTCAACGGGCCCGAGGTTGGTTGCGTTCTTAGCTGTAGCGTCCGCGTTCGTTCCTTGTGAAACACTCGCAGACGGTTGCCTCCGGCTTATTTGACCAGATTTTGCCACGCTGTTGGGACCAGGTGCTCGCCCAGAAGCGCTGTGTACGCTAGTATTGCTATTTATTCGCTTCAGGGCCGCCATGGCTGAAACAGGCCCCTTAGCATTGGGAGGAAGCGCAGGAGAAATACCTTTGCTACTACCCCGATTCGTAGACGAGGCTCTGCCACGGCCATCATCACTATTGGTCTCGTTTTGTGAGTTCCCAGCGAACAACTTGACCGTCCACGAGGATAGCGACTTGGATGACTTGCGTGAATGAGTACTAGCGTCGTCTCCGCCAGTGGATGCATTAAGGTGTTTCCCAGCAACTTCACCAGCAGTAGGCCCTTGTTGACCTTCTGGGGGGTGAAACAATTGCTCGTCCAGCGCTTTTCGGCGACTAGAAGGGTTGGTGAGATTTCGCTGACGTTGAGTCTCTTCCTCCTCGACCTCACCCATCACGCTGCTCGCCCGACTTGTCTTTCGGCTACTCGTAGTATTACCGAAAATAAAGTCCTGCCAACTTCGGATAGAGCCATGTCTCTTGCGATTTGTTCCCGACTCCACGCTAGAATTACCAGAGCGTGCATCGCTATCGAGACGTTGGGGACCTCGAACAGTAGCCTGCACATTACCTGCAGCATCCGTCACTTCCTCATGAACCTGAGATCCAAGCCCATCAATCATCGCCTGCTGCATCAGTCCATGCATACTGGAGGCGGAGCTGCCCGGCTGTTCCGTGTTGCCACCATGTTCCTGACCAGCTTCATCGCCCAACGGCGCATTCTCCAGCTGATATAATCGACGCTCGATATCCTGATTCGAGACCGAAACCTCCCGCAGCATCCTCTTCAACTCCCTCTCCCTCGCATCAGCCCGCTGTCGCAGAGCTGAAATCTCCGCATCGCGCTGTGCCAAATCACGGGCGAACTGTCGCACCAGCTTAACAGCACCGGTACTCGCAATCAGACGTTCAATATGAGAATCATCCGCCAGGTGCAACGCCCCGGGAAAATCACGAATGGGCACCGAATCCCCGAACAGGGCAGCACGACCAGGGCTCGGGGTCGAGCCACCGGTAGCTTAGCCAAGGTAGACCTCCGATCTCGATTAACATCCGGCGGATTATCACTACCTTCTTCACCTTCCAACAAGGCATTTGTCAATGCACGGTTCAGCGCGGGTTGGCCGACGAACCCCTCGGGGGACCGGTCTGGGGAAAGCGAAGGGAAAGAGGTCAGGTCGGTGGCCGTGGCACTGGAGGAGGCCGAATTACGTTTTTGCGAGCGGGCACGAACGGTCTTAGCCTTCTGACTTCGCCGGGAAGAGGAGGAGGTCCGAGACGAGGAACGACGCGGTAGTTGTGGGATATCGCACTCCGCCATGACTCGAGGGGCGGTGAACAGAGCCAGATACTTGAACTGCGGCCTTCATGTATGCTTCGTTTCGTTCGGTCTTTCTTCTTTGCGTGATTTCTGAGACAGGAATGTGGAGTTTATCAAGTAGGACCACCGGCGTGTGTCTTTTTATAGCCTCTAGCTTTGTGTCTGGCTGTGCTACCTGAGGCCGGTTTCCGCTGTTTGCGACTTTGTTTGTGCGGCAGATGATCGACCTGAGCAACCGGAGATGATGATAACACCCGCACGCTAAACCGCAAGACGAGAAAGAAAAGCGATAGAATTTCAAGTGAAGCCGCGGAAGCAGGAGGTCGAAGCTGAGACAAAGGCAAGGAATGACAGGAACGCGGGGGCAAAATTGAGGGAGGAGAAAAGTAGCAGCCAGGGTCTGGAATGCCAGCTGCTTTGGGGAGCCGAACGAACGGACCATGACGTGTGGCTGCAGCCATGTGACTTGGCATGCCGCC